GATCAGTGGTGGACCATAGATTCCTACAGCAACCAATGTTTCACGCCTGTCTTAATGAACCACACCAATTCCGTCGTAGGTCGTTTTACGTAGGGGCCTCTTCGTGGCTTACTTGGTCGTATTCGTATATCGCCAAATAAAATTTTGGCGTGAGTTCCAAAGAAGTGGCATTAATATGCAGACATCCTGTAGGTAGGTGAAATGATCGTGTGATTGATGAGAAGTAGGGTTGGAGGGAATTTCAACCACAGAAACAAATAAACAAAGAGCAGCTTGCATTCAACCTCGCTTGCTTGTTTTGTTTGGTCTACTATCAAATGCAGGGAAATGTCACGGCTTGTACGTCAAAGTAGGGTTCAAGCGCCGTGCGATTAATCAGTTCTTCTTTCCTCATTAGTACACGCCAGACTAGAAGAATAGCAACAAGTAGTGGGACAAAAGCTACATTATTTTCTATGATGATTTTCTATGAAGCACTACTTTCCTAACAGATTGTTTGCAGGATTGTCAAGAAGTATGGGGTTTGTATTATGACTACTCTAGAAAGTTGTCATGCTTTCAACATTCGATAATGTCTCGGCTAGTCATTTACTATGTAAGCACAATTTTTGATTTCTTTGTGTCCCACTTTCATAGAATTGAAATGCTAACTAGAAAAATATTCAAAAATATTGAAGCAGATCCATCGCAGTTCAGGGTATAATATCATCATCGCTGTTGGTGTCACTATCGAAAACACTGTCGGATTTGCGGATATCTATTAAAGCTTTAATCATCCATAATTGTGGGTGTGACTGTACAGTTGCCGAGTTCGTCAGCTTCATCAAGTGCACAAATGTGAAAGTGTTAGCTATTGATGTTTTCGAGATGAAGGATTTTGGGAAGTCGCTCGCAAAGGAAGAAGTGATTCAAAGTGTAAGTGGACTCTGATGGCTTCTCGATTTTCCGGCTTCAATTTATTTACTGGAATTACATTAACTGTGCTATCATTTCAGCTGAATTGCTCGCTTGTCTACGCAAACGGCGACGATGTAATTAGTGGGATTGTGGTCAATTCGTTCTATGAGGGTTCCATCGACCTTAGCGGGTTCTCAAGGCTTTTAACGGTGAGTGATTTAGGGTGAGATACCTCTATATTTTAAGAATCCTCAGCTGGTAGAAGATGCCGGTTTTTACTTGTCGGCAGGTGATTGACTGATTACTATTACTTACTCGCTTGGAGCTATGAGTGAGTGTCTCCCGTATTCGTTCAAGGTAGGGGTATGACAGTGGGACTAACTCTATCAGCCATCACTACCTGATCAACGTAGCTGTCATTATCTGAAGGATTTCAGCACTGAGGGTTACGTATTAGGTTGTCCAATGGGTAGTGTCGTTTTTCTGAACAAATTTATCCTATCAACATCCCACGCTTTCGCTATGAAGTCATTCTCAAGAAAATGCATGGTCATGTTCTGTATTTTTTTATACACTCTGTAAAAGCATGACATGCGAAGGTCGGTGACGACAATGGCAGGCAACTGGATTATGTTCATGTGCGGGCAGGTATATGTCTCCGAGGAAGTCACTCGCGTATGTGTCTTCTATACTAGTCTTCGACATATTCTGAATAGCATTTCTTTTGGATCCAACAAATCATACTGTTCTTTTTTGTAATTTCACTTTTCAGATTGACAAGTATAATGTTGTAGTTTTTTACCCATTATTTTTTCTGTAACACTCCATTTTCCATACATTTCATACATCGTTAGAAAGCGCTCTTCTGCTCTTCCTTCATGTTTGCGCATTCTGATAGTGCAGCGGGCGGCGTGATTGCTGAGCGGAATATGATGATTTCGACGAATTTTGGAGTTACGTACCATGACTAAGGTGAGCTCTCATCCAGTTTTGGTAGGCATCGGGCGGTAACATTTCGCTCAGATTCGACGAGACAGCGGCCAACCATCTATTCGGGCTGGATAACCAAATTCTGAAATAGAACTATGCTACTTCTCGAAACATTCAATAAATGTGCAATTGAGGAGAGGTTGTGAATGAAGGTACATTACTGATTGATTTCTCTCCCGAGGAGCACGGAGTTTGAGGTATTTGCCTTTGGATGCTACTTGTCTACTGGACCTCCCGATTTGCAAGCCTGTAATTCAGTCGTTTAACACGTTGACGACATCGCGCGTTTTGGGTTTTTGCACCGCGTGGGACCACAGCGCCGCCGCACACCAAATCCATGGATTTTGAGCTGTAAATACGCAATACTTAGATGCGATGAAGTGTTTTCAATAATGTTCGATCTGTCTAACTTATCGGGAGTTACAGTAATGGAAGTTCGACCGAAATGACGTGTTAAGGCCATGAAAAGGCAAATTTTACTTACTTTGTGGTTCCAAAATTAATTTGGACGTGGTTGTTTCAGTAAAAACATATATCTTCTTAGGTTTGTATTCGCTTCTATTATTCCTTTTTATCAACATGTTTACGTTAATGAAAAGAAAACGAGGAATGAACTGAACAGACATATCCGTAAGGTCTGGAAAACCTCTGCCAAACTAAAGAATATTTGATCATTCTGTGAGCATGGTCTATAGAATGAACTTAAGACCTTAAGAATAAGTTGCGCGCAAGCGCAAGAAAAAGGGATGACTTGGGTGGGACGCGTTACCGCGTCACAATGTCCCACGAGGTGCGCAAAGTGGGACGCGTTACCGCGTCACGCTGTCGTCAACGTGTTAAGAATGTGTATAAAAGTGATGCCACGTATCGTCTAAAACAGACTATTCTCTTTCGGATGATCCATGACGTCATGTGGAAATATGAGACCTTACCACACCGGAACATAGGACATTTTTGCGGAAAAATTCCCATTCAAAGAAAAACGACACCATTCGGCCGACAGCCTAATACTTTACTTGGATAAACTGTCATAATAAGGTTGAGAAGGAATTATATTGAGATTGAAGTCCCTCAGTCATTCTGTCAGTGTTACCTTTACGCAACACTTCTTGCATTTATCGCCTTCAATAATTTCTTGAGATTCCCAGTGTTGCTTCCTGCTTATAGAGTAGATTTTCATTATCAGTGCTTTCGCTCTTTTAGCGACTGGAGCAACATTATTCTTTTTTCTCCAAAAACATGTAGAACCTTGGTGTTCTTGACGCGAACGCATCTATTGGAGATTACAAAAATGGACACTTAATTCCCACGGCAAACAACATTATCAATCAATTGTCAACGAAATGG